CCCCCAAAACCCCAAAACCCCAAAACCCCAAAATATTTCAATTAAATGAAATTATAAAATAGCAAAATGAATTACCACTGTGGGAACCTGTTCAGGACAGCTTGTTCGTCCCTTATGTTCTTCTCTACCTTAACTCTTCGATAGAAAATTGGACAATCTCTGCTCTGGCATAAGATTTCTTGATGGAGAGATCCTTGGCAACGTTGACATTGAACCCATAGGTCAGAGTAGTTCTTTTGGTATCTCATCATTTCCAGCATCCTTTCAATATAGATTTCCTTCATTTTTGGAGAACATTCTTTTCATAGAGCATCTTCAGTGTTCATGACTTTCTTTCAGGATAATCATTTCTTTTTAATCTGAACAAAGTTCCCCAAACCTTCTTTCTGGATAGGGGCTACATATCTGATCTTGGTGTGATCTCCTCCAAATAGCTCACCAGTAGTGTTTGATCCCAGAATCGGTGTGAAAACTCTTAAAAGAGGTTTCTTAAGTTGTTTCTCTAAGTATTCGTCATAATCTATAGCAATGCCTTTCTCAAGAACCACAAGAGGATCCTCGGCTTTCTCATAAGCTTTAGACTTCTTGCTCTTCTTAGTCATGACAAAGGCAATTCTTTCACCAATCACAGGAGCTTGGGTTTCTTCTCTTTTCATCATTTTCTGAGCAAGCTCAGCGTGAGCTGTTCTTGCAGTATAACTCTGGTTGTAATTCCCACTTGTATTAAAGCTTTTATTAAGTGTCTTGGTGATGATCAGCATGGATAAGTCTATCCTGTTCTGGAGTAGGTCAGAAATAACACCTTTACAATGCTCAATTGCCTTTTCATAGTCTTTCTGGATCAAGATTATCTTAAGACATTGGTTGACTAGTTCTTTCACTAAGGATCAGTTGTCTCTTCTCACAGTTTCTATTCCTTTGGCATCAATTTTGTCATATTTATCAGGACTGGTGTAGAGCAACCCTGCATATCTTTTCTTGCTCATTAGGAGGTAAGGGCAATATACTTTTTCAAAATCAAGTTTGATAGGGTTAGGGAAGTGTTTAGAGATTTCAACTGCTGCTTCTTTGCCTAGTTCCATTGCCTCTTCAATGCTGCTGACTCCGAACCTGACCATGACTGAATCTGTATCTCCGTATATGACTTCTCAGTTAAACTCGTATCCTTTATCCTTCTTGAAAGTATTGGTAATCAAGCTTCGTGTTTCCTCTATCATTTTCCTTCCGTAGCCAGTAACACTTCTACCAATAGGGAGACAAGGCAGGATTCCAAGCTGGCTTCCAGTAAACCCATAGACGGAGTTGGCAGAAACTTTTAAGGCAAGTTGTCTACAGTAGAGAACATTTTTCATGAATTCATCTTTTTCTTCCTCATATTCCTCCTTGACTGATTTTCTTGCAGTGAGTAGTTCATCAAGGATCATTGGGAGTAGCCCTTTCTTGACTGAAGATTTTACGAAGATGTCATCATTGGGGGTCACCTCATAGTCTTCCCGCTTAAGCAACTTTGCCCTGTAGTTTGGGACTAAAGTCGAATAACACAGATTATGAGCCATCATAATAGATGGATACAGAGACACAAAATCTAGAGTAACAACTGGATCTGTGTAGTATCCTGTTCTTGGGTCAATAACTACAGCTCCTTCGTACCTTCCTTCATTTCCTTGATTTTTCTCACATGGGATTACGTAATTATGCATGTGAGCCTTGCGATAAAGCATTGATGCGACTTTAATCTGCTGTCCTCTGTTAAACAAGTAGGAGATAGGTACACCAGTGACTCTGGCCATTTCTGTAAAGTTGAATAACAGTATTAGCTTATCCATAAGTCTGAGTGGAAGATAGGCATCCTTTAAGCAATAAATAGCAAGCCTTCTTCTTGAGAATTGATCTTTTTCCTGCAGTTGTCCTATGACACTATAGTGCACATCTTCTTTTTGTTCTTTTAGGAAATGAGCTGATACATTGTTTAATGAGTAAGATCTAAGCTTATGCTCTCTTCTGATAATCTGTAACAAATCAAACTGAATCCTTCCCTCGATGTTGATATCTTTGTAATCATAGGAGCCCATCATTTTGGAATGAAAGGTATTATCCTTTACCTTTGAAAGGCTATCTTTCAGCTTACTGAACCTGGAATACTTATGTATCCCAAGGGTTTCTGCTCTTTCCATCAAATAAGGAATATCAAAACATGTAATGTTATACCCTGTGAGAATGTCAGGATCAACCTGAACCATGAATTCTCTCCATGCAATCAACAAGTCTTTTTCATTCTCAAATGAGAATACTTCGGTTCCAACAATCGGAGCTCATGACTTCAGTGTAAAAATATTTCTGATAAAGGGCTCCTTTTTGTCAGAAGTCATACATATGTTTGCAATTTGGATCACCGCATCCTTCTCTGCTGTTGGAAACCGGTGACCTTCAGCCGCACATTCTATATCAAACGACAAGATTCTGAGAGGCGCTATTTTAGAATTTTCTCTGTCAGATTGAAGACTTCTAAGATCATGGTAACTATGAACATCAATTTCAAGTTGTCAAGAGGATATTTTTTCCTTTGAACTTCTGATAGCATACTTATCTGTTTTGATTAAGATCCATCCCATGCCTACAATATCAGTGTTGACCATGAATCTCAGTACAAAGGAAATTTGAGATTCAAAAGTAACTCTTTTGAATTGCTCTCCTTTAAAGCTAATGCCACTCTCAATGATAGCCTTGAGCTGGTTCATATATTTCGGAGACCTGAAAGAAATCTTAAGGAACTTCTGCATTTCAGGTTGGTAATGATAAATGTTCTGCTTACTGCAAAGCTCAATCTGGCTGATGCCTCCATCCTCAGGCATTTTAGACTCAAATAATTTCTTAAGATCATAGATATCATCCTTGTTGATCTTCATGATCGGTGAAATTTCAACGTAGAAATAAGGCCTGAAGCCATGAATATGAGTGAGGACTGAATTGCCTTCTTTGGTTACTCCGTACATTCTTAGGACTCAATCTTCTTTTCTAGTGACGTAGTAATCAATATCTATTTGCATGAAGACCAGCGGTTGTTTCTCAGTCTCGTCATAAGAACGAGTCAGAGATGGTCTGTTGATATCCTTGTTAATATTAATATCATTTTCCTTAAGGAAATCTCTCTCAAGCATTTGATTTTCTTCCCTGTCTTTCTTGTTCATAGCGGATTTGTCACCCCCTACGAACCCTTTAGCCTTCTCGTGTTCGATACAGTCGTCTTCTTCGGTTTCTTTTACAAGGACTTTCTCAATATCTTCAGCTAGGATGTATCCTTCAGTATCTGAATGTTGGATCTCGACTTCTTGTATGTTTTCTTGAGGGAGCATCTCTACATCTTTTAGCTGTTCCTTTTCCTCTTCTTCATACTCAATTTTGCCTTTCTTTTCCATTTTAGTCCCTTTAGATTCTGCAGAAAGAGCTAAGATCCCCTTTTATTAGAATTAGGACAAAATAGGTTTAATTTAGTGGATTTTAGGGTAAATTGGGGTTTTGGGGTTTTGGGGTTTTGGGG